TACATCTTTGAGTCTGTGATTAGAAAACATAGCTATGTAGCCTGACTGTAAAGCCTAGGCTCAGAGAAACTGCTTCAGTGAAGGACAGAGATAAGGGAGGGGAGTCAGAGGGTGATAAAGAGAGACAGAGAGACTGCTGTGAGAGCGGGTCAACCTGACCTAGGAATTCTTTCTGATAAAGAAGAACTAGTGGCAAATGTCATGCGAAATTCGTTAAAATGAATATGTATGAACCTATTGTGAAATTGTATGCATATGCATTTGAGAGGGGGATAAAAAGGGACCTGAAGTCCCCAGAAGTACACGTCTTTTAAGGAGAGCAATCTCCACATGGGTCCAGCTGTAATAAACATACCAGCTTTACAACTTCCACAAAGTTGTGGAGTTTTGGGTTATCTCATCAAAACACCTTCCTGCACTGGCTGCATCTCCCAGGCCAGGCTGTGTCTTGGCTCCCTTGTGGTGGGTGGAGAGGTGGCTCCTTAACCATCCAAATCTTGTCTCTTCTCTCCCAGGTGCGCTGAGACTCAGAGCCATGTCCAGCTGCCAGCCTTGCCCCCCTTGCTACCAGCCCTGCACCCCTTGCAACTGGCCCTGCAACCCCTGTTTTCAGCCTTGCAGCCCCTGTTACCAGCCTTGCAACCCTTGTTTCCAGCCTTGCAACCCCTGTTTCCAGCCCTGTGGCCCCACTCCCCTGGGCAGCAGCTGCAATGAGCCCTGTGTCAGGCAGTGCCAGAGCTCCACCATCATCATTGAGCCCTCCCCTGTTGTGGTGACCCTGCCCGGCCCCATCCTCAGCTCCTTCCCACAGAACACTGTGGTGGGGTCCTCCTCCTCTGCTGCTGCTGGCAGCATCCTCAGATCTGAAGGAGTGCCCATCAGCTCCAGGGGATTTGACCTCTCCTGCATCACCAGGCCCCGCTGGAACAGGGTCTGCTGAAGCTGCTCCACAGAAGGAACCCCCAGAACCCAGAAGATGGAAATGGACTGAGTATGGTCATTTAGAGGCACTGAGGATCCATGGCATTTGGGAAGAGCTGTGCCTGGCCTCTCAAACCATGGCCTTTGTCTAACTTGCCTGTTTCCCTCCTGTTCTTTTTTTGTCTCTGCTTTCATGTCCTCCTGTGGGCTGTGATCACTGGCTAAGCCCCATCCAAGGTGTGACTGCACCATGGCCAAGGGACTCATGGCCAAATGTCCTACATCCCTGCACTATGATGCCCACTCAGAGGGCCTGCTTTTCTTCTTAATTAAAGTTTTGCTGCATCCCAGCCTGTGCCTCTGTGTGGTCCTTGTCTCTCCCCAGCTGCCAGAGAGAAAGGTGGGTGTGGATCTTCTGTTTCACATCAGCAGATTTAGTTTGGATATCAGGAAAAGAGTCTTTCCCCTAGAGGGTGGTCAGATATTGAACAGGCTCCCCAGGGAATGGTCACAGTCCCAAGGCTGCCAGAGCTCAAGGAACATTTGCACAATGCTCTCAGGCACAGGGTGGGATGGCTGGGGTGTCTGTGCAGGGCCAGGATTTGGACTTGGTGATCCTTGTGGGTACCTTCCAGCTCAGGGTACGTCACCATGATATTTTCTGAAAAATCTCTTCATCAGGATTTCTTCTCCTGGGAAGCTGGGAAGCCTCAGCTTCTCCATGTTTTGCTCCTCTGGAATGTGATCTGGAGATTGTTTATCCAAACATGTGATTTGTTTTTAATTAATGGCCAATCACAGCCAGCTGTGTCGGACTCTCTGAGTCAGTCACGGGTTTTTATTATTCATTCTTGTTTAGTCTTCTGATGTATCCTTTCTCTTTCTTTAGTATAGTTACAGAATAGAATAGAATAGAATAGAATAGAATAGAATAGATCAGCCTTCTGAGAAACATGGAGTCAAATTCTCATCTCTCATGTTATCCTGGGGACCTCACAACACCACAAGGATTTTCAGTGATTCTATGAAGCTGGGCTTCAGGTGCAATTTCTATTTCACCTCCACAGACAGAAACATCCAGTCAATGAACCTTGTTCTGATGGCAGCCACTCTTCAGAGGATGGACAAAGGAGTGAAAAGATTCTGTAGTGGAAATTTTATCTCTCCATGTCCCAAGACCATACATCCTTGTAGATTATACTTGCCAACATTGACCTGGTCTCACTGCTCTGTTCCAAGGGCTGAAAGAAACTGTTAAACTCTCCACTAAGTCCAACAATTCAGTGACAAAAACTTTTTTGGCTTTTGCAGAGGTCTTTATCCCGCAACAAAAAAAGGAGGGATTGTTTCCAGGTGGAGCATTTAATCGTAAGTAAAGGGGTTCTGGCATGCAGGTTTTGTGGGTAGTGACAAAGAAATAAATTTCATGGCATAGAAAGGATTGGCAGATATGGACCAAGTTATCCTGGTGCACTAGAGAAAGAGTGGTGCTCCAAGTGAACTTTCCATCCACAAAGATTAAAGCTGTGGATGCCATTAGCAATAAAATCCCTTTGGCATCTGGAATGTCATCATCCTGCAAGTTTTGCAAGATTTAGAAAGCAGAAATTAATCCAGTGTCTGACTAAGGAAACTTGCTGCAAGCCTGTGTTACCAGTCACTTCAAAGCCATCCCCAAACACCTCCCAGAACAAAGACTGAGCAACATCTCTTTCCCTGGTCATCTTGGGAGAGCATCTGCAGGAAAAAATGACACAGAAGCAATGGCTCAAATGCAGCATAACTTTAATGAGTCAAGAGAGAGAAATTAGATCATTTCAAGCTATGATCGTGGTGTAGTGAGCACGAGGGACAGATAAGAGATTGTGCCCCATGGCGGTGGCTGAGAACCCTAGAAGGTTCTGAGAACCCTAGAATGTCCATCTGCCTGCCCTACAGAGGGAGCAGAGCCAGCAGGTGCTCCCCAGGATGGCTGAGTGGGGCTCACAGCCCCAGGGAGCACAACGGAACAAGGACACAGGAGGGAAAGGAGAGAGTGGCAGGGGACAGAGGCAGGGCTGGGCTGTGCTTGCCAAGAGTCCTTCTGCAAGGGCTGCTGGGCTTGTTCAGGCCCTCTAGAAGCAACAAGCTCCATCCCCAGTGAAAAACCATCCTGCTGAGTCCTTAGGTTCACACCCTGGAATCATCAACAGCACCTTTAGCAGGGGAAGCACCTCCTGCCACAGATGCCACTGCCCAGGCCAGAGAGGCCAGAGCCCCCAGAGCTGATGGGCACTCCCTGAGAGCTGAGGATGCTGCCAACAGCAGCAGAGCTGGAGGATCCCACGGCGGTGTTCTGGGGGAAGGAGCTGAGGATGGGCCCGGGCAGGGTCACCACCACGGGCGAGGGCTGGATGAACACGGTGGAGTCCTGGCACTGCCTGACACAGGGCTCATTGCAGCTGCTGCCCAGCGGGGTGGGCCCACAGGGCTGGCAGGGCTGGCACCGGGGGTAGCAGGACATGGCTTGGGGCTGCACGTGCACCTGGGAGAGAGGGAAGGGAGTAGAAAAGCACAAGTGATTACAAGCCTGTAACACCACCACAAAGGAGAGAATACAGCTCACACAAGGTGCTGGAAGGATCATAGGGAGGCCCACAGGCTTCTCCTTCTCTGTGAGGGTACCAGTCATCCATTTTTCTGACTCTGGACTGAACGCACTTGGGGAAGTAATTCATGTTCGGCCTCAAATATTTATTATTTCTTATTAGTAAAACAATCTCACTACTGTGAGTTGGGCAGCTTTTCATTAGAAGGCACAAAATGGCCAACAATCTCTGGTTACAAGGTCTTTTAAGACTAAACTATCCAGTTAAGAACTGACACCTGTAGATGCCATGGGACAGAGAGAGAGAAACGGCAAGCATTTCTCACAGCTGCTTGTGAGAAGTTTTAGGGAGCTGGAAAGATGTGATAACTTGGTGACTATAAACAAATTGCAGGTGGTGTTTTTCTACTTTATTTTTCTGTTCCTCTCAAGGACAGTGGGTGAGAAAGATGTTTCTGTTAGTTAGTCAATAGAATAGAATCTATTGTACCACTCTATATAAACCGAGCGGTTCTTTTGAATAAAGCCTTCTTTGCCTTTTCTACCATCCTGCCTCTCACCTGTTCCTGCCCCAACACTGGTGCAAGAGTGGCAGACACCTGGATTATTTTCCCTTTTAATCCAATAACTGATCCCAGTGTGGACTTTTCTGCCCAATTACAAAATGCCGCCCAAACCCATGAAGAAGGAGGAAGAAGAACCATGAAGAAGAAACCTAGGATGACACTCTGTGCCGTCTTGCTTCCATCCACAACACACTAAAAATCCCAAAATCTCAATTTCTCACCAAGGGATACACCTACACTACTCCCTATAATCTATCTCACACTTTTGTGGATCCTAGTCTATCCTGAAGTTTAGTTTTCTCCATGAATGAGGGTCAAAGTCAGTGCTTCCCTGGGGACAAGGACATGCCACAGCAGACAGAAAAGTATTCCTGGTGCCCTGGGTTTCCACAGTTCTCCAAAGCCCTAAAGAGACCTGCAAAACACAACTGAGCTCTGCGAGATCCCTTCCTAGCCCAAACCACAGGAGACACCTAACTGAGCTCCAACCTCTCTCCATGTCCCCCCTTTTGCATCTTCCCCTGTCCCATAGAGAGCAACCTCAGAATCAGGTACAGGACACAGAGACAACTTTGTGCTGAAAAATCTCATGGAAGCACAATGATGAGAATGAATAAAAGAAGAATAAAGAGCTTCAGACCTACCTTGTTCCCAAGGAGACTGGAGAGGAGTGGATGAGACAGTGAGGAGATGGAACTCCTTTTATAGTGCTCCTGTGCTGCCCCAGGCCCACAGTCACTGCATGAGGACAGTAATTTTCCAACAGACTCATCTTCAAAGCAAAATATCCCACCTAATGCCCCAGGTTGTGCTTTGTTTTCCATCACCATTGCCAGTGCATTTCCTCGTTTCTGACGCACCCATTATGCTATGCAGGCTCCTTTCATGTTCCAGGATGACAGATCCAATGATTTTCCAAATGGATCATGCCCCTGTCACCAGAAGATGTACCCTCAGGTGCAGGAGGGGTCTGTGCAGATGTTGGACATGGAACTGGGAAATCTGATGATGTTCTTTTCAAACCCCACTGCAGAAAGGTTTGGCTCTTCCCCTGCCAATGCAGGGGTCTGTCTTGGGTACACAAAGGCTCCTGTGCCTAATGAAATGACTTCTCCTTCTCCCTCAATCCTTTACAGATTTACTTGGAAGAGTCATCTCCTCTCATGGCAGTCTCTGGGAGTCTCATATGTCCATCAACATGAAGAAAGAAAATGTCATCCTTCCTAAGGACCATGATCACAATTCTGGTGTGGTCTCCCCTCACTACATGAGGGGTGTGTTGAGGCTTGGCACAGCACCTTGTTTGTCCCACTCTCCTCGCAGTGCCATGAGCTTTGGCTGCATGCCTTAAACCCTGACCAGCATGAGAGACTTTTGCAAAACATGTTGACTGCCCTGTGAGCCCCTGAAGCTGTGGGAGTGTTGGCAAGAAGCTCATGCTGTCAGCAATGGCTGTGGTGGCTGCCTGAAGCTGTGTACTCGGGTACAGCCCAGTTCTTGCACCACTTTTCCTGGGTTATGGATGGATCTGCCCTTGCTGGAGGGCAATTGTGTCCCTGCAAGGGGTATGGGTCTGCAGACATCACACTCTCCTGGCTTGGCCTTGCACCAAAAGGCTGACACACAGCCAGCCCAAAATTAGGGCATGAGTTGCCACTGGTAGGAAGAGTCTCCCCCTGGAAATTTGCCTACTGAAGGCATTCCCTTGCCCTCTGGGATGCATCCCAGCTGCCTCCATGTCTGCAGGGCAGGGAAGTGCATCACTCCTTGATGTGGTTTGAGAGCAGGTTTGGTACCCAGGGCTTTTCTGAGTGCATCCCCTTCCTCAGTGTTCTGAGGTGTGTGGCACTGCAGGGCTGTCACTGACAGCTCTCATTTATTAGGGAGCTGGACAAGTTCCTGCTTCCCCAGGGGCTGCTGGGTTGCTCTCCAAGCAAGTCTTTTTGGGCATGGTAAACAAGGAGTGCTGAAGCACAGATGCCAAGAGAATACTCAATGCATAGGAGTAATAGTTGCCTCCTCAAGCCAGGTCTCAGAAGCTCTTGGAGGGCTATTACTCACCCAGGATAGCTCAGCCACCTTTGGAAGGATAAAATCAGCAGCATGGCTGCTGTTGCAGTGTTGGAAACAAAAAGGTTTAATAAAAGGCAGAATAACAAACTCCTTACAGAGAAAAACCAATCCAGGTGCAAGAGGTTCTTGCTGCTGGTGAAACACCTCACAAAAGCCACTGGTTTCTTTGTTCTCTTCTTTTTCTAGTGAATTCCTTAGGTGGGACTTTTTGGCCATCCATAAGTTTGAGGTGATGTCCCCAAGGACTATACAATGTCTTTTTACCCAACTGAGGAGAGAAACTTCTCGGCTTCTTTCCTTTTAAAGGGTAGAAAGGATAGTTTTGTCACTCCATCAACAGCGGGCACATTCCTAAACACAGGACCACCGATGAGTCCCAACCAGTGGGGAGATTTTTTTCTGCAACCCCTCCTATCCCTCCACAGAGCATTCAGGAGAGCTCCTCAACACAGCAAGGTCTCTTTGGCCAGCAGGATGAGGTTTGTGCACCCACTGCACCCTCCAAGCCTCTCCCCAAGGCATCTCTCACAAGAGAAAAGAGAGCTGAGGCTCTAGGACTGTAGCATAGTTCAGTCTCCAGCCCATACTGCTGGAAGGAGTTTTTAATCTCCAAGTGCAGATCTTGCTGTTTGTTCTTCTTGAGTGCTAGAGGGCCCCTGTGGCCCAGTTCTCCAGACAGTCGGTAATTCACTTTATAGAAACCATGATCCAGAATGCATTAGCAGGCTTTCACTGGTTGACTCTTGTCAGACAGTCTTTTTTTTTTTGACACCCATTCACTGCAGAGAAGGCTCCCCCACCTTCTCAGAACTCTTTTAGGGGATGCAGCAGCCTGGGAGTTCTTGTAGGTGAAGATTGAGAGAGGCAGTGTCTCCTCTATCTCCACACTTCTGAGATCACCTTCCATCATCTGAAATGGGCATCCCAGGATACTGTCAGATGCCATTTCCACAAGGGCCCAGGGCTGTCCCATGGTGCCCTCCAGAACCTCTGCTCTCTGCTGTGAAGCTCTTTGGCAGCAAATCATCTCCAGCCTGTAGTGGAAAGGAGATTTTTCTTCCCCCAGTAGGACTTGTGCAGGTAAACCTTTCCTGCTGGTGACTTTCCAAGTGGCCCAATCTCTTGACAGCAATTCCTGCTAGTGAAAACCAAGGCCAAGGATTCCTTGAGTACCTCCACTTTTCCTGTAACCCTCGTCCTCAGTGAAGCTGCTCCGGTCAGCCTTTGGACTTCTCAGCTACCTGGAAGAATTTCTTGTGCCCATCATGTATTTTGCCTGTTCTGGTTCTGCTGTATTCTATATTCTGTATTCTCTGTATTCTGCTCTGGTACATACCCAGCCAGGCTTTGATTGTCCCTAGTCCTGCATACTCAGACAAACTGGCAAACATTCTCCCCAGAAAAAAGCTCAATAATAGGAAGAGACCTGAAAATTCTTGCTGCAAGGGGAGCTGTATAAAATTGCAATTCACTCCAAGCCAACACCCCCTGTGTTCATGGGACCCCACCACACTTCAAACACATCTTCTGCCTTCACTGACACGCATCACCAAGGATATCCTTGGGTGCCTCATCTCAGCACATGAAAGCAGAGCAGGAATGTGGAAAATGAGGAAATTAAATGGCAGCACAGGTTGACAGAAACCAGAACACAACCTGCGCCACCAGGTAGAACATTTTGTTTTTGAGGTGAGTCTGCAGGAAAATTACTGCTGTCATGCAATGTCTGTGGGCCTGGGGCAGTGCAAGAGCAGTATAAAAGCAGCTCCTTCTCTTCACTCTCTCATCCGCTCCTCTCACCTCCATCTCCTTCAATACAAGGTGAGTCTGAAGCTTTTGCTCCTCTTTCTCTTCCTATTCCTCCAATGCACCTCAGCTCAAACCTGCTCCACTCCTACATGGGGTCTTGGAACTGCTGTCATGGGAGAGGGAAGGGGAGGAAGTTCTGTCATCATCAGAAACTTGGTTAACAGTCTATGTGGGGTCCTATGTGGGGTCTTGGAACTGCTATAATAGGAGAGGGAAGGGGAGGAAGTTCTGTCATCACCAGAGGCTGAAATTTGTTAAAGTGTCTCATGGCAATGGGCAAGGAAGGAACCTCTTTAGGCTTGGTTGCTGTCCAGGGGGATCTTTTGGGCTGAAAGTAATGGGATACCTGTGGATCTCACTGCAAAGTTCCCATCTCTTTTCTCCCAACTTGTCTTTTTTCTCCGACTTATCTCACTCTTAGTTGAGTGCAAGACTGCTCTTCATCCACAGTTTCTGTTCTGCTTCTCATTTCTCTCTCTCAGGAGCACGTGCAGCCCCAAGCCATGTCCTGCTACCCCCGGTGCCAGCCCTGCCAGCCCTGTGGGCCCACCCCGCTGGGCAGCAGCTGCAATGAGCCCTGTGTCAGGCAGTGCCAGGACTCCACCGTGTTCATCCAGCCCTCGCCCGTGGTGGTGACCCTGCCTGGGCCCATCCTCAGCTCCTTCCCCCAGAACACCGCCGTGGGATCCTCCAGCTCTGCTGCTGTTGGCAACATCCTCAGCTCTCAGGGAGTGCCCATCAGCTCTGGGGGCTTTGGCCTCTCTGGCCTGGGCAGTGGCATCTGTGGCAGGAGGTGCTTCCCCTGCTGAAGGTGCTGGTGATGATTCCAGGGTGTGAACCTAAGGACTCAGCAGGACGGTTCTTCACTGGGGATGGAACACCAGCTTGTTGCTTCCTGAGAGGCTGAGGAAGCCCAGCAGCCCTTGCAGAAGGACTCTTGGCAAGCACAGCCCATCCCTGCCTCTGTCCTCTTCCCCTCTTTTGTCTCCCTCTCCTTGCTCCCTTGTGCTCTCAGGGCTGTGAGTCCCATACATCCATCCAGGGGAGAACCTGCTGGCCCTGCTCCCTCTCTGGATCAGGCAGATGGACATCTTCTGAGATCTCCACCACAGTTATTTGGTGCAGACTCCTGTCTGCCTCTGGTGCTCCTTTAACTCATATTTACGTAGTTTTCATCCTTTGACTCAATAAAGTTCTATTGCATTTGAGCCATTGCCTTTTTGTCATCATTTCCCCTGCCCTCACAAAATGCCCTCACATCATGCTGTCGTTACTACAGGTAACAAAATGACATGGGGGGTTATTGGATATGCTTGTACGAGGACCATTATCACAGGATAGCTCTGAGGGTGATCCTCTGTTTTTCAAACTTTTTTACCTATCTAGGGCTGGATGGAATGATTCAACAGAGTTCATTGGCTAGAGCTCCATCAGAGATGCTGTCATGGGAAAAGGGGAGATTTTCTCAACCCTTAATGTTTAATTTGTCTGTCAGTGCCCCAGAAAAACTGAGACCATTGTGTCAGCCACCTCTTGGGACTTCTGCTGGTCAAAGTGACCCCAAGATGTGTTAGAAAGTCTCTTTTCCCAGCCTGGTGGTCGAAGAAGGAGTCAGAACTCTTCAGTTCTCATTCTCAAGTTTGTTTATTGTTTCTTATCTATAAAATTCTTTCTCTGGCCTGCCGAGGTCCATTCAGCAGGTCAGACAGAGGCCCACTGGTGTTATATTTTTATACTAAAAACTACATGTACAATATTTACCATAACTTCCCAATACCTATCACCTGTGTTAGACAGCAAGCTTCTACTCTAAACCAATCCAAAAGTGCCAACATCACAGCATCACAGAAGATGGAGGCCAAGAAGAAGAAGGAGAAGGACTGGATGAGCCCAGATTCCTCCATCTTGCCTCCTGAACCCCCATTTCAAAAATCCCAAAAAATCTGTTTTTCACCCCGTGACAAACTAATTATTATTCTACTTAGACTTTAGTGGCTTGCAGATCCTCATATAAGGTTGGTAGTTTTTTCCATGGGTCATAATCAAAGTCACAGGTGTCTTGGGCTCTGTGCCAAGGTCTCTGGGCCCCCTGGCAGGGGTTTGGGCAATCCAGAAGAGCCAGAGAGATGTCTTGAATTCCGACAACAATCCTGTCAGTGTCCAATTAGGGGGGCCCTGCACTGAGCCATCCTGCTGGATCAGAGGGCAGTCAGGGAAGCACCATCAGCCTCAGGGAGACTCCTCAGCAGGTCTTCCCACTTTTCAGCCCCTAAATGGGTTTTCCACTGAATTCCAGTATGTTCCCTGCTGCCAGAGACTGCAAACACCACTGAAGGACTGAAACTGACAGTTTATGGAATAATACTCTGAATAACATAAAATCGTGACAGGTTACAGGTTGAGGATTGCCAGTGTGCCAGGGAAGAAGAATCAAGCGGGAAAATCCTCCCACTGGTTCGGCTGAATTGATGAAAGGGCTGTGCCATGCCATAGAACATGCTCAGCAAAAACCTGTAGGCATTCTCTCCAAAGCAGAGAGCATGGTGCAAGATGGTGGCTAATTGCATTTGTATAACTCATGTTTTTTTCCCTCTTTTCTCCCCTTCACTCAATTCACCAGTGACATGGTCCATTCACCTCCTTGTCCACGATTTTTTTCCACTACTGGGACAATTGCCATAGGTGTTGTTTGGTGTTTTCATGTGTGATTTGGGTGTCTGCCCCAACTACTGTGTTCTTAAATGCAGTTCAGATGCATGGTGACATTCTCAGAAGTGTTTTGGATCCCTGTCCTCTGATAGTGTTGGTGAAGCTCCAGAGCTGTGTTAAAAGCTGTCACCAGCCACCTCAGGATAAATTTCACTGTTGCCACACCAAAAAATTGTCTCTTCTTGCACCACCCTGACACCAGATACCTCAAACACCACATTAAGTCAGTATAGTTAATTAATATTTTTCAACACCTCAGACTAAGATGAAAAAGGACTTTGTGAGCCCGCACAACAAAACAACCTGCATCACTCATGGATGAGAATGGAGAGGTCTACTTGCTCATCCCCTGCACAGTTTCATCTTTCCTGGCCCCCAGGTGCCCATCAAAATGTTCAATCACTCCCTCTCCTCAAAGAGTATGGTGGGAGAAGATAAAATATTTATACTATGTGTGGTGATAAAGGTAATTTAATGAAGAAAAGCAAGGCAACACTGCAAAAACACAGGAAAAAAATAGTTTTATTATCATGTTCCATCAACTGTCAATGTCCAGCCTCTCCTGGGAAGTAGGGCCAAAGTACACTTAGTTTCTTTCTTGACAAACAATCTGTTAATAAATGCTCCCCTGCCAGCCCCCTCCTCCTTTCTCTCAGCGTTTTTTGCTGACTATGATTTCTCGTGGTATCAAAAATCCCCTTGGTCAGCGTGGGTCAGCCAGCCTGGCTATGTCCTCTCTCATGCTCTTGACCACATCCACCTTCATGACCTTTTGTAGAGGAGGATGGAGAGACAGGGTTGATGCTGGGCAAGCACTGCCCAGAAAAACCCAAAATATTCTCTGTTATCAGCACCATTCTAGCTCCAACTGCAAAGAATCCATAGAAGGGTTAATTTGGTGAAATTGAACTCCATCTTGTGTAAAACCTACACAATGCTATTATCTGTAGCCATGATATTTTCTGAAAAATCCTTTCCTTAGGATTTTTCCTCCTGAGAAGCTGGGAGGCCTCAGGAACAAAATGTAAACAATGGTTATCTGCTGCTGTGGAATGTAAACAGGTGTCTGGGATTGGTCTCATGTGGTTGTTTCTAATTAATGGCCAATCACAATCAGCTGGCTCAGACAGAGAGTCCGAGCCACAAACCTTTGTTATCATTCTTTCTTTCTCTGTTCTTAGCTAGCGTTCTGATGAAATCCTTTCTTCTATTCTTTTAGTATAGTTTTAATATAAAATAGATAATGAAATAATAAATCAAGCCTTCTGAAACATGGAGTCAGATCCTCGTCTCTTCCCTCATCCAAAAACCCCTGTGAACACCGTCACAATTATCCATCACTGCATATTCATCCCAAGCAAACCCTCAAAAAAACAGCTCTTAAAAACATATTTTCCCCTGGGCATGTTGAGAAAGAACCTGCAGAGGAAAGAATGACGCAGACACACGGGCTGGGATGCAGTAGAAATTTAATGAGACAAAACACAGAAACAAGGTTGGTCCATCTGGAGGTCCCAGTGCAGAGAGCACGAGGGACAGAAGGGAATCTGTGCCCCAGAAGGTGTCACCTGCCTGATGCAGAGAGGGAGCAGGGCCAGCAGGTGTTCCCCAGGATGGCTGAGTGGGACTCACAGCCCCGGGGAGCACAAGGGAACAGGGACATAGGAGGGAAAGGAGAGAGTGGCAGGGGACAGAGGCAGGGCTGGGCTGTGCTTGCCAAGAGTCCAGGCTGGCCCTGTCCCTCTGCAAGGGCTGCAGGGCTTGCTCAGCCCCTCAGGAAGCACCAAGGCAATGCTCCATCCCCAGTGAAGAGCCATCCTGCTGAGTCCTTAGGTTCACGCCCTGGAATCATCACCAGCACCTTTAGCAGGGGAGGCTCCTGATGCCACAGATGCCACTGCCCAGGCCAGAGAGGCCAAAGCCCCCAGAGCTGATGGGCACTCCCTGAGAGCTGAGGATGCTGCCAACAGCAGCAGAGCTGGAGGATCCCACGGCGGTGTTCTGGGGGAAGGAGCTGAGGATGGGCCCGGGCAGGGTCACCACCACGGGCGAGGGCTGGATGAACACGGTGGAGTCCTGGCACTGCCTGACACAGGGCTCATTGCAGCTGCTGCCCAGCGGGGTGGGCCCACAGGGCTGGCAGGGCTGGCACCGGGTGTAGCAGGACATGGCTTGGGGCTGCAGGTGCACCTGGGAGAGAGGGAAGAGGGGAGCAGAGCATGAGAGGTGTTTGAAGGGCAGCCTCACCACATCATGGCTCCATCCAAGCTGGAGATGCAGGGATGTCCACAGGTTCTTCCTCACATTTCACAGAATCACAAGGCTGGAAGAGACCTTCAAGATCATCCTACCCAGCCCCAACACCTCAACTAAACCCTGGCACCCAGCGCCACATCCAGGCCTTGTTAAACACATCCAGGGATGGTGACTCCACCACCTCCCCTGGCAGACTATTCCGTATTTATCACCCTTTGTGTAAAAACTTTTTCCTAATATCCAACCTATATTTCCCTTGATGAACCTTGAGACTGTGTCCTCTGTTTCTGTCAGTGTTGCCTGGAGAAAGAGCCCAACCCCACCTGACTACAAAACCTTCACTTTGTAGAGTGATAAGGTTTAGCCCACAGGTTCCCTGCCAAGAGTAACCAATCTCAGAACGTTCCTGCTCAGACTATCACTCACTTCAGCAGAGCCCCAGCCTCCCTCCATGCGACCCTCTCTCACATTCCACCTCTGACAGAGCAGCCCCATGGTGCAGCAAAGGACCAAGTGCCAGGTATGCACTGGAAAACAGGAGGAGGAGGAGGAAGGAGAGGAGAAAGGTGACCCAACTCACCTTGATCCAAGCAGACTGAGGCAAGAGGAGTGGATGAGAGACTGAGGATGAGCTCTCTCTTATATTGCCCCTGCACTGCCCCAGGCCCTCAGTCACTGCACAAGGGTAGTAATTTTCCTACAGACTCACCTCCAAAGCAAAATATCTTCCCTAACACCACAGGCTGTGCTTTTATTTCCATCAACACTGCCATTTGTTTGCCTCATTCCTGACGTGATCATTAGGCATCCAAGCATTCCTTTCAAGTATTGAGATGAAAGACTGAAGGATTTCCCATGCAGGGATGCATCAGCACAGGCAGAAGATGTGCTGGAGGTGTCTCTGGAAGGAAGGGATCATGGGACCAGGGAAAAATGGTAACACTGATTTCCACCTTCTTTGGCAGACAGTAATGTCCTGCTGAGGGCAAGGTGTGAGTGTGGCTGTTGGGAGCTCTGGGCTTGGCTACAGTCCAGTGTTGGAGATGTTTTCTCTTTGCATAGTAGGAGCTGCCCTTGCTGGAGGGAGACTCATCCTTGCAGACATCACACACACTCCTTGGCCTTTCACCAAAAGGCTGACACACAGCCAACCCAAAATTAGAGCATGACTCGCCACAGGCAGGGAGAGTCTCTCCCTGGAAATTTGCCTACTGAAGGCATTCTCTTGCCCTCTGGGATGCATCCCAGCTCCCTCCATGTCTGCAGGGCAGGGAAGTGCAGCATTCATTGATGTGGCCTGGTTTTGTACCTCTTGAGCACATCCCTTATGCTCAGACCTCCTCTTGGCTTCTTGTGTTTTTCCTGGACCTTTCTTAATCCTTGCCCACAGGATGCCTAAGCTGCTGCCAGCTTTTCTAACTTCTTTTACTCTTCACAGGTGCCTGCATCCTGCCAGATACCTGACTGGGTGTAAAGCAAAGGCAACTCCAACGAAGGGGAGAGAAAATGATGCATCTAACTCCATTGATATCAGAAGGCTAATTAATTACTTTATTATACTATACTATATACATTTCATCTCAACTGAATCTGCCAAGCACTCACTCTGCTCACACTGCACAGAATCTCGTGGCTGTCAGTGACAGTCCCAACACACACACACACACACGCACTCTCACACACCCTGACAGGCCAAGGAAACAAAACATCATCACTGTGGGTAAACAATCTCCACATTGCATTTTACTTTTGCACAAACACAGGCACAGCAAGTGATAAGAAACATGTTTTCCCTTTCTCTGAGGTTCAGAGAATGTGAATCTCAGAAACCCTCAGGAAGAATTGTGCCTTGCTTTCCTCTGGGAAGGGAAATGTGCCAGCAGGGCTGTCCCTGCAGAGGCAGCTGCCAACAGGGGCAAGGCACTGCCCTGAGCCAACATCCCCTGTCTGCAGGGACCCTCCGGCCTGGGGGCACCTCCTGTCCCTGCAGGGACCCCTCTGATCTCGGGGGTGCTCAGACCTGGCCTGGCACATGTGGAAGGAGCTGCAGCACAGAGCAAGTGTGTCAGAAATGAGGAAGTGAAATGGCAGCCTGGATGGAAACCAAACCACAACGTGTGGCGTTAGGGCGGGTATTTTGCTTTGGAGGTGAATGTGTTGGAAAATTACTGTCCTTGTGCAGTGCCTGGGGGAATGGGGCAGTGCAGGAGCTGTATAAAAGGGGGACCTTCTTCTTGCTCTCTCATTCACTCCTCTCACCTCCATCTCATTGAGAACAAGGTGAGTCTGAAGCTCTTTCTTTTATTCTTCCTTTGAGTTTTCGGAGCCTACCCTCCCCCTGTGGTTCCATGTCGGTGTGGAGAGCTGCTTGTTATGGGAGAGGGAAGGGGCAGAATTTGGGCATATAGAGAGGCTGAGTTTTGTCTGAGATGTCTCCTAAGCTGTGGAAGGGCCCAGGCTTGGTCATTCTTGGGGAGATTCCTTATGGCTGAGACGGAAGTGAGGCTGGTGGGTGTCTCTAAACATCATTGTGCAATTTTGCGCTTCTGGCTTTTCTCCAGATGATGGATGAACAGCGTCCCCTCACTCAGCCCTGTGTCTCCTCCTCTCTTCCCTCTCTCCCAGGTACACGTGCAGCCCCAAGCCATGTCCTGCTACACCCGGTGCCAGCCCTGCCAGCCCTGTGGGCCCACCCCGCTGGGCAGCAGCTGCAATGAGCCCTGTGTCAGGCAGTGCCAGGACTCCACCGTGTTCATCCAGCCCTCGCCCGTGGTGGTGACCCTGCCCGGGCCCATCCTCAGCTCCTTCCCCCAGAACACCGCCGTGGGATCCTCCAGCTCTGCTGCTGTTGGCAGCATCCTCAGCTCTCAGGGAGTGCCCATCAGCTCTGGGGGCTTTGGCCTCTCTGGCCTGGGCAGTGGCATCTGTGGCCTCCCCTGCTGAAGCTTCTGGAAGCTGGAAGCTTCCTTCCCTGTGGAAGGAACCCAGGGACTGCCCGGATGGTCCAAGCCCAGGGATAGAGCATCATTGCTCTATCTCCCACTCAGAGTGACTTCTTTCTCACCTTTTGACTCATTAAAGCCCTGCTGCATCCCAGCCTTTGCCTCTGTGTCTTTCCCCTGCACATGCTCACCCAATATATCCAGTGAGAGAGGTGTTGCAGTGTGGCTCTGGGAGGGTGTTGTTGGAAGAGGTGTTGTGATGGTTGTCAACATCACATTCATTATGTTAACACAGCATTGATTACTCATATTTAGTGTCACCTTTTTAAATTACTCTGCCTCTCTCTATGCGCAGGAATTTCCACACACAGTTCAATGACCACCAATACTCCAAAAATACTTTTAGTTCTCCCAACAAATCTTTCAAGTTTTCTCATGTTGTCAGCAAGCTTGTGCCCTCAGCTTCTCATCCACAAGTAAATGTTCCAGCTCACCCACCACCCTGGTCAATCTTCATGTATTTCACTTCCCTTGCTGGAGATCTTTTTGAGTTACAGGGCAGTAGGCAGCACAGCATGCTTGATGCCATCTGGGGAGTGCTGAGCAGAGTGGGATCTTTGCTCCCATTAATATCCTGTTCACAGTTGTGCTCTGATAGCCCAGGATGTTGATGACACTCCTTGGTGCCCAGGAACACTCCTGGCAGCTCCACCTGTTTTGATGGTGTTACGACAAAAGCACCTCATCCTTTTCAGAGACTGAAGTGTGGGGACTCACAGACATGAACTGATGCCAGCAGAGCAAAGCCAGTTTATTACACAAGTATTTACAGGTCACTACATTTATACCAAATCTTCCTCTCAGACTCCTTTGTCCCAGTCCCTTTAGAAACAAAATCTTCTTGATTATCATTCTCACACTAGTAATGTCCTTGTTACCTCTTTCACCAGCAAAGTCCTTGTTAATCTTCCCTCATCAGAGTGGTCAGCATCAGGGTGTCAGAGTGACCAGACATGATGTCTTCACTCCTGTTCTTGCCTTGAGTTTATCTCCCCCTCAGTTTTCAGTGTACCAGGGCCAAAAGGTTGGTGGCACTGCTCAGCTCTGCCTCTGTAGCTCTCTGATCTTCCACACTGAACCATGGGACAGGGTTGGCTGCTACAAAGCCACCATCATGTGGAAGGGGCTGACAGCTGGTTGGTTGGCCAGAAAGAGTTAGCTGAAGAAGAGAAGCTGCTAAGAGTCACCTCTGCCCCTGAAAGGAGTCCTACCAAGGTTGTTGATATGGAAACCAAGGAGAAGAAAAATAATCAGGGGGTCCTTGAGTTGGATGTGGGTGGAAAACAGTGGTGGAGACCTCCCTGCACCAATGAGCATTATATTGATTTATTGTAGCCAATGAATGGGTATAAACTTTGTGAGAAGGTATAAAAGACAGGATGCTGTTAAAGAAAACAGCGAGAAGCCTTCTGAAGTGGATGGTGTTCTTCTGTGTGTTGTGACCGTCTCAACAGCAACAGCTTCAAATCTGGACTCTCTGGGGATGTGTGTCACCGTGCCCACCTGCATCCTGCAGCAGTTCAGCCATTCCCCTCCCTCAGCTGCTCCTGCACAGCCCTTGGAGACCCTCAGCCCACACCTGATGCCTCTCCCTGCCTCCCTGTCCCCAGAAACTCTCCCAGGAAAGTTGCATTCTGGAAATCCACAATATCAGAACAGTCTGGGAGAAGAAAGGACTGAGAGGAGACCTTTAATAAAGGACATGGGGACACTGGAGATTGAAAAGTGGACATGAGTCAGCTATGCGTGTTTGCAGCTCAGAAATTCCATCAGGTCCAGGGCTGCACAAAAAGAAACACGGCCAGCAGGTAAAGGAGGAGATTCTCCACTTTATCTGCTCTTCTTAAACCCAACCTGGAACCCTGAATCCAGTCAGGAGTCCTTAATTCAAAATAGGCACGGACCTGTTAGAGCAGCTCCAATCAAGGGCTGCAGAAATGATCACAGGGATGCATTGCCCCTACCATGGAGAAAGGCTGGAGGGAGTTCAGTTTTTCAGGCAGGAGAAGAGCAGGCTCTGGGGACACCTTTTGATATGTAAAGGGGATGAATGAAAAAGTTGGAGAGAGATGTTTTCTCAAGGCCTGTAGTTATTGGACAAAGAGCAAGAGTTTTAAACTGAAATAGGATAAATACAGAAGAGACACAAGGAGAAATTTTACTGTGATGAGTGGGACAAGACACTAGGAAATGTTGCCTAGAGAATGATGGGGTGTCCCATCTTGAGAGGGGTTCAAGGACAGGTTTACTCCAACCTTATGTGATGCAGTGAAGGATGTTTGTGTCATAGCAAAAGAGTTGGACTGCATAAACTTTAATGATCTCTTCCACTCAGCCCCATTATGTGATCCCATGACAAGAGGGGTCTGTGAGAAGGCAGCCCAATGCCCTCTGTACCTCCCTTTAAGAAACCTTTCAGATCCAAAGGATCTCCTGGAGTCTGATGGGAATCTAGTACCTCTGTCTGGACAGTAACAAATTCACTGCTGAGTATTTGCACCACAGTGCTGAGCTGAGAAAGGAAAAGAAGTGCAAAGTGGAGAAAAAAACAAAAAGTTTATCTCTGGAAAATGTAGAGAAATTCTACCCTCATCCAAAGATGCAGAGAAACTCAGAACCCAGAGGGTCCCTCAGTGCACATTGAGCACTCACAATGCCAGCCTGAGTTGACAGCCAGTGCAAAACCAGCCCCAACAACACCCCCCAGAAACACCCCTGGGGCAACAACTCTGCCTTGGGCAAAGGATGACACAGAGGCACAGGCTGGGATGCAGCAGAATTTAATGAGTCAAAACAGGGAAAAGAGGGGGATCCAGGTGGAGGTAGCAGCTTCAGCAGGGGAGGCTCCTCGTGCCACAGAGGCCACTGCCCAGGCCAGAGAGGCCAAAGCCCCCAGAGCTGATGGGCACTCCCTGAGAGCTGAGGATGCTGCCAACAGCAGCAGAGCTGGAGGATCCCACGGCGGTGTTCTGGGGGAAGGAGCTGAGGATGGGCCCAGGCAGGGTCACCACCACGGGCGAGGGCTGGATGAACACGGTGGAGTCCTGGCACTGCCTGACACAGGGCTCATTGCAGCTGCTGCCCAGCGGGGTGGGCCCACAGGGCTGGCAGGGCTGGCACCGGGGGTAGCAGGACATGGCTTGGGGCTGCACGTGCACCTGAGAGAGAGGGAAGAGAGGAGCAGAACATGAGGGGAGTTTGAAGAGCAACCTCTCCACACCGGGAGGGAGATCCTTTCTCTCAGCCCCTATGAGCACCACCAAGAAGGCCAAAGCCAGGGACCATCCTCCCAAACCACAGCTCAGGAGACACCTCAGTCCATATCCAGCCTTTCTCCACGACACGTCTGCCCTGTCCCACGCAGCCTTAACACACAGTAGGGAGCAAGGACAGAGATATCTGATCAGAAATCCCAGAGAATTACAAGGTGGAAGAGAAAGGAAAGGAGGAAAAGCACAAGGAGAACCCAGAGGAAGACGAGAAAGGGCTCAAAACTCACCTTGTTCCCAACAAGATGGAGCTGAAGGAGTGGATGGGAGAGTGAGGAGAAGGTGCTGCTTTTATACTGCTCCTGCACTGCCCCAGGCCCACAGGTACTGCACAGGGGCACTAATTTTCCTACACACTCATCTCCCAAGAACACTGTCCTCCCAAATGCCCCAGGCTGTGCTTTGGTTTCTGTCAACGCTGCCATTTCATTTCCCCATTGCTGACATGGCCATTAGGCCACAGAGCATCTTTTGAAGTGTTGCCATGAGAGGCCTGAGGCTTTCCCAAGCACCATCACGTCAGCACAGGCAGAAGATGGGCCCCCATGTGCTCCAGAGGGCTGTGGGCAAATATGTGGGGAGTGTTTTTACAAACCCCTGTGAGGAAACATGGTCGTGTCTTCCCACCAATGCCATCCTCTCCTGAGCACCTGAAGACTTCCCTCAGTGTGGGTGAGCTGCCTCCCTCTCCCTCCCTGCTGCCTCCCTGCTGCCTCCCTGCTGAGGCCTCACTGGGCATTGCCTCTCTGGGCAGCTTTGAGCTTTGGTGCATTGCTGGTTTCAAATGGCTTTGCCAAGGATATCTTCTCCTTCAGGGAAGACATCTCCTGGTTTATTCAGCAAAGTTTGTCTCCTCTCACTGCCATCTCTGGGGGACCCCAACTTGTGCTGTCACTGGGCTTGCGGAAGGAGAGCACTGTCCTATCAAAAACCCTTTGATCACCCAACAAATCCTGTGGGCTCAGGTTCCTCTGCTCTCAGCATCTGAGAGATATGTTGGCTCTTGGAACATCACTCTCCCCTTCTCCTCACCCCATGATGCATTTTGGCTGCACCCTGACCTGGGGAGCACACAAAATCCTCCCCAATTTTTTAAAACTCAGTGCTGAGAACACTCCAGCGCTGCCAAGCTGGTCAGGCTGAAGGCAATGGCTTTTGGGGTTGCCTGCTAGGGTGTGGGGATAGACCAGTACTTGAGGATGGTCTTCCTGGAAAAGAAGTGGAGTTTCCCAAAGGATTGAGGCCTGGCAGGATCCTGAGGCCTGGCAGAACCCTGAGGCCTGGCAGGATCCTGCAGTGCCACATCCCTGGGGATGCTCAGGGAGGGGATGCACTCAGAAAAGCCCTGGCTACAAAACTAGCTCTCAAAATACACCAAGGACTGATGCACAGCCCTGCTCTGCAGACATGGAGGCAGCTGGGGTGTGCCCCAGAGGGCAAGGGAATGCCTTCAGTAGGCAAATTTCCAGGGAGAGACTCTCTCTACCTGTGGGGAGTCACAGTTTAATTTTGGGTTGGCTGTGTGTCAGCCTTTTGGTGCGAGGCCAAGGCAGGAGGGTGTGATGTCTGCAGGGCTGTACAAGGCAGGGCTGAGTCTCCCTCCAGCAAGGGCAGCTCCATCCTGGCCCAGGGAAAAGGGATGCCTGGCCTGACAATGTGTATTGAAAAAGTG